CCTCAGCAGCACTGAGTAATAATCAATTGTGTCTGTATGCAGCAGCCTGAGTTCTGTCACAAATTTATTCTTCAGCCTTGGTGTGTTTAGTCATTAGCATTTTCTGCCCGTATATAATGCTCATGTACAGTGACTAAATTCTTGAAAAAGCAACCTTCATAGCTGCTGGGATATTTGTAAACGAAAAGCCTTATGTGCATGAATACTTTAACTGAATTTGTGAAAACCAGTGCATCAACATGTGGCTGCTATTTTGCTTTCCTAGACTAAGCAGCAGGTTTCCTACCTGAGAAAGAAAGGTATTTCAATGTCTGAAACTGCCCATCAGGCTGCTCAAATTAACTACACCTATCAGTCATTGCGAGTACTTTTTATCCAAGCCAACCTCTTAAAAGAGTGAAAATAAAATTACAGAGCCAAAGGCTATACAGTAAATTTTGACATGTCCCAGGAAACAACTTTTTTCTTCTTTCAGCTTCTTGTGCACTGCAGCCTTCAGTGTGGTGTTTGGGATGGCCTCGGTGCTTTCATCCTTTGATGGCTGCGCCCACAATCTTTGACTGTTTTCACTTTGGGCCTGACACATGGTTGAAAGTTGCTGAAAGTCTTACAGGCACTTCTGTGGGCTTTAAACTGAGGTGTGAGCTAAAGGCTTCGTCTTTACAAGAGGTTAGCATGTGATGTCTTCTGGGAAACCAGTGCCTACAGAGGAAGGAAACTGCTATTAAAACTGCATTAAAAGTACAAAAGTAAGCTTGAAAGTGAATCAGTTTTAGAGTATCGCATAGCCTTGGTGTCTTGCGAGAGGGTCTTGCCTGGCCAGCACCATCCTCAGGCACGGGAGTAGTATAGGGTCGTGGTGTACAGATTTGAATGGTGTGGTCCTCTCAAGATAGTGCAAAACCCAGGGGAGCACTGGGGAGAAGAAATAGCTTGAAGTGTTTGTGCTGGATGGACCCTTGGCCTGGGCCTCAGAAGACTTAATGCTGGAGATGCTTGTAATGCAGGTGTATCAACAGATCAGACAGCCACTGCTCATCTCCTGGTCTTTTCCCAGCAGTGCCTCCTTTAAGTCAGTGGCAGCTGCAGACCTAGATCCTCTTAGCCTGGGGCAAGCAGGAAACTCAGATATCCCACTTTCAGAATAAGGTGGCTTTAGACCACTGCTTAAGAGCTGTAGAGTCCTCTGGAAAATGAAGCAGAGCACATAGCACAGTCTTTTAGGATCTGTTGATCTCACCTGCCTCAGGGGAAAACACTGGGCTTTGAGTTGCAAGTGGTAGGAGCTGCTTCTCCACCAGCTTGGAATCAGGCACATCTATACCAGCTATTGCCCAGTAAAGGGCTTTTTCAGGCTGAGGTCTTGATAGGGTTGTGCCTGTGTGCATACCATCCCCGTACCTGTTGGGGAGATGGCACTGCCACTGAGGATGGCAGCACAGAATGGTGGTGGTGGGGTTTGCAGAGTTCCCTGTTTTAGGTTTCTAGTTTCTTTTTTGACATGTAGTCTTTGACCAAGAGTAATTCCCTCCTGTCTTAGCAACTTGTGGTACTGCCCTTATGCCCAGCAGGCTCTGCTCTTGGCTTGTTGCTTAGAACTATGTAGCTAGATGTGCCCGGAGGAGAACGGTGATTCCCTCTCTTTGCTAGAAGACAGTTTTGTGTCCAGCATGTTGCTGCTATTGGCTATTCAGTTTATTAGCAATATCAGTGCACAACACACTTTCCGGCCCCATTTCACAGTTAGTCATTATGGGTGTGCATGTGTCTGCATGTACAAACTGTGCTTCTGTATGCTTATGCCCCTTGTTTTTTTCCTCCCCCAACCCAGACTGCTGCCTTCATCACCACCGTCTCCTCTTCCCAGTCCCTATGCTATCAGCAGTAACACCCAGCTGAGAACTCTATCTGTCACCAGGAGAGGGTGAGTAACATGGGTGGAGGAGCTGAGAAAGCCTCCCTTGCAGCACTTGTCCTTGTACAGCAGCCTATGCTGTGTCAAGGTAGAAAAAAGTCTGCCTTCCTAATTTTGGTTGTAAGCCTCTCTTCAGAGACACTTTTGTAGTCTGAGGCAGCCTAGCCCCAGGAAGAACTCATCCCCACCTGCTGCATGTATGGCCTGCCAGGATCCCTGGCAATGCACAACTGAATTAGTGTCTTTCTCTGAGTATTTTGACCATAGTCTACATAACACTGGGGCCAAGTTTGTATTTTTTATAATGTTCCCATCCAGTGTCCTTGAGTGCTACCGCTCAAGCCTCAGTTGAGGATGAATAAGGTGTTGACAATGTTCTCAGAAATGCCTTTCCCCTTTGCTTGCTCTTTGAAGTTGTGCTCATAAACCTGTTTTGGGGAGTGGCGGCAGCACATGATGTGAGAGATGATTAATATTCAATCAATTTTTAAAATATGTGACTTGCAAAGGAGTTGTTGGATGTGTGAAGTTGGGAATCAACATATGGAGACAATTTCTGATTGTAAACATACTGCACTATGACCAGCAATTCTCCACAATACAGTAGGATTTATTAATAGAAAATATGTCAATATGAGTTTGTCTTTGTACATGTTAGCAACATGTACAGTGAAACACATTTTTTCTCACTCTATATTGTTATAGTTCTTTTTGTGTTATTTGACATAACCACTTATATTTTGGGCTTAAATATGTTATTCGTCAAAATGTACTTTCAGTGTTAATATACCTTTAAAATCATAGTTTATCATTTAAATATTGAATTCATATTATTTTTTCAAATCAATATTGCTCATGTTAGTGCAAATTTGTTAATCTTGAGATAGGTTAACCATTCCTGCCAGACCATAAACAGCATTTAATAAAACAGTGAGATTTATCAAGGTCTACACAGCTGATCAAGATTCTAATACGAAGCTTGTTAAAAAAAAATAATCTGACATTTGACAGTACATCAATTGCATTTTATACATTTTTTGGAACAGTTTGGTTTCTTCTCTATTTCTGTGTTTTATCTAGTACAAGAATGAAGGGAACAGCAATAGGTAATGATACTTTCCTCAGTACTAAAGAGAATGCATCATGACATATCCTGCTTCAGTATGGCAGCAGTGTTGGATTTCCAAGCCTGGAAGAGAAGCCAGGTAATTCCACACCATCTCAAAATGCAGTACAGCAAGAATGAACAACGGTAGTAGGAGCACTTGCCACTACAGAAGAATGGAAACAAAGCAACACAAACTATAGACGAAAGATATTTTATGCCACTTCATCGGTCCAAAATGTTTCACTTGAGCAATGGTCAACATTTGACTGCAATTAGTTTTCTGAGAGGAGCTGCAAGGGGGCAATGTGGGCATTTTAGTAGTTTGAAGAATGGAAATAAATCCAACTTACAATAAATTTCTGTCTAAAGAACTTTAACTAGAACCACGGGTCCCTTTGGCCTGTTTGTGGTCCTGCGGCTGGAGGCCTGCACGGATCTGGTGGTTATCACACAGGCAAGAACTTCAAGTTGAGAGTGACATTCTTTATTAAAAAAAAGCTTTTATACTGAAAATGTGCTTTGTTCAAAAGAGCACTGCAAATGTCACTTATCTTATTAAAATCAATGTAATAAATAAAATATAAACAACTTGTGTCCAAAACTATGAATAATATTTTCATCTACCTCACTATACATCTGGCCCACTGTGCCCCTCCCACCCACCCTTTTTTAAATGTTTTAAAATTTTTTTTGCATGCGATTTTTTTCCCCGTTTACTACAAAGAGCAGATAAGGTTACATATCGTACACTGGGAAAAGCTGCCAAAAAGATTAAACTCTAGTCCTAGATTATCGAAAAACCAATTCTACGTCACAACATCCTCCCGCACCAACTACTCGGTCTGCGTCCTACGGAGCAGGTGATGGTTTGTGAGAGACTTTTCCCCCTGCACACAGCCAAAGTGTGCCAGGTGATGGTGAGACTATTACACTGACTAACCACAGAAATGTTTGCAACCTAAAACAAATTCCTGAATTGTAACTGAAGCAATTTACAACTACTCCTTTTGTGTTGGGTCTTATTCTGTGGAAACTGTATGACAAACTCTTGGCTGAATGAAAGAAATGCTAGATTGTTTTTTGTTTTTAATTTTTTAACTTCTAGAATCCCAAAAGCTAATATTAGCCCAGCTATTCTGGACTCCCAGCCTAGTTTCCTTTCATTTCCTTTTTATTTTTTTGTTTTGTTTTATTTTTTCAAAAAAAGTCTCTTTTCCTTTTTTTTTTTTTTTTTTTTTTTCTTTTTTTTTTTTCGTTTTTTAAAACAGTTTTATTTTAAATGCACAGAAATGGTCAGTATCTTTCATATTTGAGGAATGTGTTTTGGGCGTTGGGTTTTCTTTTTGGTATGGGTTAAAGTAAATGATTGTCCTAATGGTTCATGAGTTGGACCCTTCTGTAGCCTGAAGAGTTTGGGCACTCCAGGCTTTAGCCTGCTGGGTCTTGGTTTTCCATTCCCCCAGGGAGATGGCAAGATCAAACTCTCTCCCTTGAGCACTTGCTGGTTGGTGGATGGAAAGTAATGACATTTCCTTCCTCAAGAGAAGATCAAGAGATGCTATTTTAAAGGAAATGGCACCTGAGGGTGAAGGACTCAATGAAAAATATCCTACAACCCCTTCCTTTGCGAGTATGTGGCCTAACAATTTTCAATTGCTATCTATGGTTAATAAAGTGAGTAAGAGAAAGCACATACTGGAGTTTCCACTGTTTAAAAAAACTGAAAATCAAACAAAAACTGAAGCTTGAACGAGGAAAACATTGGATGAAAATAGGTTTTATACCACACAAACGCACACACTCAAACACATACACACACACACACAGAATACTATGCATACGTGGACACACACGAGTAAGAATGTATATTTGTATGGTAGATTCTTGGAAATAGACATTCTTAGCAAATATGGATGACAGATCAATTGTAATTTATTTTCTTTTAACACTGTATCATCATAAAGAAAACTGGTATAAATGAAAAAAATCTATTTCAAATATCTACATCTAAAATTTTAGGCAGTGAAAAAGCACTTTGTTGACAAGGAGTGTGGAATGATGAATGTTAATTGTCAGAAACTGCTGAATGCCTTTTTTTTTAGTTGCCACAAACAAATTCACATATCAGAACGAACAATACTGCTAAATATTCCTTTTTGTTTGTTTTTTTTTTTTTTTTTTTTTTTTTTTTTTTTTTTTTTGTTAAAACGCACTGGGGAAAAGAAAAACAAAAAACTGGAAATTCATACATCTTTCAAAATTTGAAATTGAAGCAATATTTAGAACCATAGATGAAGAAACACTGTGGCATTGGTGTAATATACACAATGCACTTGTTTTTTTTATCTGTAATGTACATCAAATACTTTACAACAATGCATTAACAAAAGGCAAGAAACATCTTGCTGTACAGAGGAAACCCCAAATGCAACTTGAAGCCTAGAGTCACAATGAATGAGGATATTAAACAAAGTGTGAGAAGCTGTTCCCCATAAAGTATGTACGCTGCTCAGTTACTTGTGCTTAACTCTTGACCCACATCCACTGTCATAATCTCCCTCCTTCTTTCAGCCACATTCAATACACAGCAACAAACTTAAGACTCTACTGGCCAACACTAAAGTTGTCCTACACTGTAAAATATATATATAGTATATATATTTCTTTCTAATTACTCCAAGGTTTAGCTTTCATTTCTTTTAGCCTTCTAAAAAAATCTCTTAATTTTTTCCACACTGGTTATCTGGGCCTTCCTATGGAACAGGCTTTAACAAACTAAATTTGCAGGAAAAAAATGTCTTGTGGTATGCATGCACATGCACAGTTCCTGGAGCTTTTCTATCTGCCCAAGTCTCAAACCCAGGAGTCGGGAGAGGCTGGATAGTGGCTTGTTTCATAGTTAAGTTCACTATAGGGACGAGCAGCTGAATAGAAGTCGACGTAGTTGCCAGTTGACTTTAGTCCCAGGTGCATGTTGTATTCACTTGCAGGTGGACGATGATGCACTTGGTCCTCAAAGAAGGACTCATCATAGTTTCTGGTTGAATTCTGAAACGGCTGATATGGTTCGTAATCTTTTCTGCTGGGCTCCTGTGGAACTGGCTGTGTTGAAACCTGAAAGACAGCAACATCCGCACCTCTTAGATACAATTTTCTGTGGGCAGGAGGGAAGAAAGAGTGAATCTCATTCTATGTTCACCGTGCTGGAAATGGAAACTTGGTCATTACTTAACCAGTGCCCGAAGTAGACTTAGAAGTGAATTAATTCCACAGCTCTGCCTTGTCATTATATTCTTTACACTTTCATTTATTATTTCATTTTACTGCTGCTAACAGATGCTGGTTTATTTCAAATGTAGTTAAAATCTGGTTCTGAGCAGTGCTGCTCACAGTAACTTTTAGTAAACATCATCTGTATACAGCTTTCTGACTACTTTGCAGCTATACAGTGCAAATACTGGTGGTAAAAATTCATTTCAGAAGAATCTGAATGGACAGTGTACACACTCCAATATGCTTAACATTTGCAACTTCCTTTGCCACAGATGAGACTGGGTGACACCGTTAAGAACTAAGTATAGCCTTCAGGGCACTGACATGAGAACATTTCAGACTAAGTCCCCTGGAATGTATTATGCTACTGTTAAGTTGAAACAATTTCTTACTACTGCCTTGACATTCATGCTGACAGTCTTGAGTTGCTACATTCTAGTAAGTTGCCTTGAGCTTGAAATATTTATGATATACAGAAAAAAGACTCAGGTGGACCCCTAATCTAAGTTTGCCATTAAGTTTTTTTTTTTTTTTTGACAGCCCTAGTGAATCTCTGTTTTGATATTTGGGACTTAGTAGAAATCTGAAAATTATAATCATTTGTCAAGTATCTTAGTGGAACACTATCTTTCACTCTGCCATCTCCATGAAGATTGGGCAGGCTTTGTGACTGCAAAATGACATGGTCTTTCAATACTCAAATGCTGTCTTTTCCAGCGAGCCAATGTCAGTATCAGAAGACTTTTTGCCAAACCTGCAGACTATGCATGAGGTTGCCATGTTCCTTCAAGAAGATGGGCACAATTGCATTGCTATGTCCCAAACTGTTGGCTACTCTTTCAAAATGTCTGTATGGGACTCTCTGAGTAACTTGCAAAAGACAGTCAGCGTTCACTACCTTTAACAGCCCTACAAGTGATCTTACAGCACTGGTCACAAGATCAAAATGGCAAAAGGGAGCATAACAACTCTATTTTCTGTTTCTAGCACCACTTATGTCTAATGCCACATGTTCAAACACAGGTGTCTCAATTTGGACAAAAGAGAAAAATTACATACTGAGCAATCTGTTCATAAGCCAGAAGACATAGCCAGTCATATTTTTGAGTAGAAAGAAGACCAAATTAGTATTCTGGGGTCCTTTATAAATAGAAACATTATTTATGATAAGTCAATCATAAACCTGACATTTCTTTGAGAAAACAAGTGGAAAAAGGTGGAAAAGTGGTGTTTTCCTTTTGCTCTCACTCTAAAAATCAAATTATTTATGACTGCAGCCTGAGTGCATCAGCTGTTAGAATACCTCATACTCCTCCTTTCCCTAAACACTGTGTTAATTAGAAGGACTTTTCTCTTTAAAGACAATAAAAGCAGAAATACCTTGAAGCAGTGCACACAAATATGGTACACCACGTGAAATACTGGCTAAATAAAGAGTAAAACCAATACAAGGAACATAGGGGCACAACATCAGAAACCTGCCTTAAGTTTGTGGATTCAAATTGAAATAACATTCATTGAAACTGAAATTTCAGGTAATCTAGTAGAAATCTTCAGGATTTTTTTAATCAGTTTCACCAAATATTCTTTTATTACTCATCATTTGGGTAGTATAGTCAGGCTGTGGTTGGACTTCATCTTTAAGGTCTTTTCCAACCAGAGCAATTCTGTGTTTCTATGTAAAGTGCTTTTCCTAAGTGTTTTTGGCCTCCTACCTCTATTTGAAGAATGATGAACAATGCATAGGGAAGCTGTGAGAATATTCAGGAACTGTGATAATTAATTATAAGATACAGTTGTATAATGGAGCTACACATATATACAGACAATGCATACGTACCTGTAGGAGATATAAGGGTACCAGGCCAGGCTTGTCCAGTATACATGTTGCCTTAGCCTGTGAGCCAAACAGTGCCAGAAGTAGCTTTCAATTTTATGTTGGATACACTCAAGCAATGAGATGTGAATGCACTTCACCAAGTTTACTGGCACAGGACATCACCAGGTATTTGACAAAGCAGAAGTGCCCATTATGTTAGCTTGGCCCTTGCAGTGTGCATCACACACCCAGAACTTTAAAGGCATGTAGGTCTCGAGCCTCTCTTGATTTCATTATGAGTGAAAGGCCTAGATTCTTTAAATAATTCTTGTGCATCTGCTGTCATAACCTGTTGGACATTTTTGAAACTTGGGCTGAAATTATGCATTAGCATTAAGGATATAACTTGCCTTAGACCAGTGGAATTGCCAGCATATGGTCAAGCATGTGGCTCATTTATTCTAACCTAGATTTTTTAATTCTTGTGATATTTTTCATAGTTTTCATACAAAATGTTACACTGGCATCTTGCAATCTAGAACAGCAATATATTAGTTTCCTCACTTACCTGGTTATGTTTGATATCTTCAGCAGGTGCACCATAAGAATTTCTGTACAAAGTTGAGATTCCAGTGTTCTGAGCTGGAGAGAGAGAAACGAAGGAAAAGCAGTTTTACCAGCTGTGGCCTCAAAATAAATTCTTCAGGCTTCATTTAATACTTACATAGTGCTCATTTCCCTTACACAAAAATCTTTAAAAGCATCAGCAGTATTCTATTTTCTTTCTCTCACACTAAACAGTACTAATCTTTGCTCTGGGGTACATATATGTACATGGTAAGCACATTAATGGTAACAGGCACTGTATCATTTACCATCACACATAAATCAACACAATATTTTCATATACTGAGCTAGCATTCAGTAATATATTCCAGGTTATATGTGGGATTTTGTATAACACATATTGCTGTAAATATTGGGATTAAGAAACATTTAACTCATTTCAGTTCAGTTGAACGTTACTGATCCTGGATTACTTATCCAACAATGCTACTGTTATATTGTGAAATTATTCATGGGAAGACTGATTAAATACAACTGATAAAATGAGTTACGCAAAAAATAAGCAGTTAAACCAAAGATATTCTGGCCAAGACGGTCTCAAGTCCATGAACTGCAGTAATTTTCTTCTCTAATACCTTACTGCTAAAATGCATGGACAAAACTGAGCTACGAGTTTGAAATCAGAAGGGATTCTGAAGACAAGGATGACATTGTATTGTTTTGCAAAGATTACTGAGTACCTGCCTAAAGAAATACATTCAAAACCAAAGATTTTTCTGCAAGGCTTTAACTTTCCCCGATCGCCTTGATTTGAGTATCTATCTGAAGCTCAGCTTGCTGATAGAAATGTATGCATTTCTCATGTCTGAAATTATCTGATGGAAGGATGTCATGTAGATGTGGTGCACACTGTGCTTGCTGGATATGTGTTATTAACTTTCCAGATACTAGAACCAATGACTTGGTAACTGTCACTGTGACTCTCACTATAAAAGCATATGCCCAAAAAATAATTTTAAAACTTGAATAGCAGTGAATCAGAGCATCAGTGGAACTGAAACAAGCTGCCCATTCAGCTTCTCTCAGGTCTCTGTGCAACCGTATGAAACCTGAGATGGTTTTAGTACCTTCACAACTCAAAACTTGGAGGGCAGTACTGAAGGGCAGAGATGAAAGCTGGCGGTGGGATCCATGCTGGTCACATCACCAGGAAGAATCACAGTTACTGAAGAAGTAACCACTTTTTCTTCCTTTGGAAACCTGCTAGCATGGATCCCAGCACAGTAAACTGCCTCTGTCATTCTTCCCCAGTCACTCTACCCACTATGGAGAAAGGAAGGAATGGCATGGTCAGTAGTCAAAGCTGACTGTGAAGTGCCCATTCTGATCTCCACATCTGCTACAGGCACCATGCCGAAGGTAAAGCTTTTGACAGAGCTTGGTGCACTGTTCCATGTTGCCACTTTACTGATCACAGGTGGTGTTCTTAAAGATCTCCAGGATGATCTTGAAATGGGATGAAGACTGGACCTATATGGTGGGGTGATGATCTTCACCAGCTGGAAAAAAAAATCAGCCCCCTCCCCCCTTTTTTTTCACTGTTAGCTAGTTCTTAGTTCTTGATGTGCTGGATGCAGTTACTGAGACAGTGCATAGTCCCATGTAGGAAATGGAGCAGAGATGAACAACATGGAAGTGATGATGTGCTGGACTTTCATAAATGGGGAAGAACTTCTTGTAATGTTTCTTTTTTTTTTATGTATATAAATCTAAAGATAAGCAGGATTGAAGATCCATACATGCAAATTTTTAGACAGGAATGGCTGAAAGTACAATACTATTCATAGTTGTTTGTCCAGAATAAAGAGCAGTATAAGATGCAAATCTGAGGGTTTTACGGAGAACCTGAAGAAGAACAGCAGACTGGACACATGCTAATTCACAGAGCATTCCCACAATCAGAGAGACTTTTAGGAGGGCGACAGCCTTTCCATCTTTTTATAGGCAACTAAAAGAGCACAAGGAACCCATGTGCCCCTAATAGCCATAATTATTAAAAAAACAGAAGCAGTTCATAGTAGATGCATAGCTCTCAACCACAGTACTGTGAAATTTGTTGTATGCCACAGGCCAGATTGAAGACTTGCAGTCTCCCAGATCACAGATTCCACGATGGAAGAAATGGATAGCCTCTGCATAATGGAAGGTCTGCATTGCTGATTTCACTGCAGTCAAATGCAAGCAAACTGTGGTATTCTTTTCTTAAAGTGATTAAAAGGAGTATAATGACACATCAAATGCTTTGAAATGAATGCCAAGTTCACAAACAAGAAATCTTGGCTTAGTCTAGCTGGGAGGATGAGATAACTCCATCTCTGTCTTGGAGGAAATGTAAGCCAAGAAATATAGCTGCCAGTAATGCAGCCCCACTCCAGTACTTGCTTCGGAACATGCAGGCAGCATTCCTGGGAACTCCATTCCTGCTGTGCCATACTTCAGTGAGCAGCTGACTCTTGCTGTTCAAAAGCAGGGGGTGAATATAAAAGATAGAAGGGAGAGGATGAGCCAGATGGAAGGAAAAATATGTGGGTGGCTAGTATCTGATGTTACATGTGTCATCATAGTAAAATGATCCCGGAGAAAGAGAGTTAATCAAATAATTCCCTTTTTAAAACGTGGCAAAGGAAAGAGGTACAAAGAGCAGGAGACAGAGGTTTTCCATCAAACACGTTTCCTTACAGAATGGTGAGAATTGTCACTGCAGATAAACTGATTCCAGAATTGATGAGTGTGTGTGTCTGTATTTTATGCAGTATCTAAACAACAGCACAAGATAGTACTGAGAAGGTACTTTTTACTGGGCAAAATTGTGACAGTTCTGAAGTGAATACTATGATACGCCTGCAGTAGTTTGTGGTTGTGCTGTATAAAGAAAATTAAAGAAAAATACCTTACTTTATTATTTTCCCCAGTTTTCAAGGTGATATTGATTAAAAAAAAAAATAATACAAGTTTCCCTCAGCCACCTTCTCCAAAGCTTCCAGCAGCTCTGAGAATTATGTCACTCACTGGTTTATGTGACAAAGTTATCATTGATTGAAGCCCTCCCCACGTTTCTCAGTCACTTGATTTGTGGCTTAACATTCAATCTCCAGCTCCTAAGAGTACCCATTCAGAACACATTTACAGGCACTTTGAGATAATAAGGTGCTAACCTTTTGCACTCACAAACACAGACAGACACAAGAAAGGAAAGATCAATGGGCAGGCAGTCATCCTCAGCTGGTATTGCTTAACCTGCTCTTCCTACTATGAACAGGACTCTGTTTTCTAAAATTTAATTCAAGACAGTGAAGGAAAATGCTTCTGTGCCTCACAAATATCACTTAACAGAGATCACTGCCTGTCATTACTACAGCCACCTGCATTTATGGTGAAAGGGCATGTCAAAAGATTACAGTTTTATTGTGGTTTCTTAAAGTAATAATGAGTTCAAGTCACCTGAGTATCTCTAGCTATTTTAACAGTTGGGGGTTGTGTTCAGAATGTGCAAGTCAGTTCAAATAAGAAAAGTACAGATGAAAGATTACTGACAAGCAACATAATAAATTAATCAGAAGGTATTTCTGCTGGTGGAAGTGAAGATGTAGGGTGCAGATTGTAATGCACATACTGGTTCAGTAAGGATACCAACAAAGTCCCATAACAGTATACAGTAGGCTTATCTTCTCTGTTCTGAAGGAGAACACCAAGGCATAAATAACGTTACCACATTCATTTACAGCTCCTTTAAGAAAAAAAAAAGAATAGAATAGTTTTTGTCTTAAAAATATACTTTAGGTGATAAAATTTTATTATTGGTTATTATTTTCTACAGAAAAGAGAAGATGGACTGTAAATATACACGGCATCATAAACCTGTGAAGTGAGGCCGGCAATAGAAACTTTGATATTGTTCCCCTATTTATTAGCTGTTCTTGTGAAATCAATGTAAGTTATCATTTTCAGCCAAATTGTTTACTTCATAGATTCTCCATTTTTTCCCAGAGGTTTCCTAACGGCTCTCCACAATGGCAGGAATCCAGCATTTCTACCTCAAAAATCCATCACAAAACCTTCATTTCAGTCTTAGCCAAGAGGTCATAAAATTTTTGAACTATAAACTCAGAAGAGCTTTGAAGAAGAGCATGGAGACAGGTGTAGATAAATTGGGACTACTGCTATTGCATTCCACATTCTGTAAATCTATAAGTCAAAGAAAGCTTTGTGCAATATATCAGCTTGGCACAAAACACAAGAGCAGTTCAGTATATGTATACGCCAGGTGGAACTTGAAAAAACATTTATCTAAGTCCCATAGGCTCTGTGGAGGTATTAACTGCAATGCATTATTTGATGCACACAATGAAATATAGGAATTGAAATGAATTTGCTATGCAAACTTACGAAAGACCACAGAAGTAAGGCCAAAATGTCTCACAATTAAAGTCATAAGTTTCATATTGTTCTTTAATGAAATGTTTATTATTTGATCAGCTACAGATACGTTACACACATTTCACATCAAACGTTGACAATACAACTCCTGTCATTTTCTGTTCTTAAAATGATGTTTAATTTGAGCTCTGACCAAATGAGCAGTGATCTGGTGACCTGAAAGACACAGAAAGTGATTTATTAATTTCATATTCATTTATACAATGGCTATAAGATTTTAAAACATTATAAAGCTTATCAGTTTGATTGTTTCTGATTTTTCTCACTGAGCTCAATAGTTGGAAAAATTACCAATAGATGAGCATGATGCTGAGAGTCTCGAGTGCTCTTATTAAGAACCTCTCCGAAAGATCAATAAGAACATACAAAATACAAACAGATGTGAAAAGAAAACAGGATGCAAAAATCACAGTGGAGCAAAGGTTGCTGGGAAAGCACAAACCTCATGTTCCTAAAACTGCACAGACATAGCAAGGACATAAGGGAGAACAAAGACACTACAGTAAACAGTAAAATAATAAGAGATGGGGAAAAAGACGTTTTTTTGAAGTGGGGAGAGAGAAATGAAAGAATAACTAATGAACTGCAAGGAAGCACAGGAACAGTGCAAGGAAGTTAAAGAAGTTTTTCCACAAGGAAATCCATTTTTGAGAACTTTCAAATATAATCTGGTTGTCTGAATTTGCAGACACAGGTAGGGTGAAATACTAATGTTTCTGCAGTTCTTACTCAGATTCCTTCTTCATGAAAGTGCTGAAAAAAAAATTAAGTGCTGTCCTTTATAATCACACAAGTAATGGCCACTGAAGTGTTTTAAAGAATCCTCTCATATGACTATGAAGCACCCAAAATGTTATAGATACTTTAGATACAGTACCTTGATTGAATTTTCTTTAGTTTCATTGGTATCCTGTAGAGATGATTCAGGACATTCGATTCTGTGGTTTCCATATGCTCTTCATTGTCATTCCTCTTCAGACTTCACTTTCTTGCTAATTCTGCATTACATTTTCATCCAAACTCAAACACTGGTCTTTAGGTTGTGATTGCACAATGGTGTATAGCAGAATAGATGCTGTGTGATTTGTGTCATGTGCTGAAAGTGGACGCTAGCATGGATGGCTTGAAATCTAATCAGCACGTTTCTGCTGTCCCTGTGAGCTTAAGAACCCAAACCAACCCATTCTGGCATTCTCTGAGCAAGACCATTGCAGAGGGAACGGAAAAAGGCAAGAGGCATTCAAAAAATGCAGAATGACTCCTCAGTGTAAATTTTTACAAGGTACCATTTGGTGGAGAGGACACTACGAGGCTTAGCACAGTATAAATATAACATAATACCTAACAGAGGTTATATAAGCCTGTGTAAGGGTGATAGAGATCGACACATTTTGCAGAGAACTAAAGAAGAGGTGCAATTCTAGCCAAAGTAGTCAATGTTTCTTAATTACTGAAATGCTAACAGGTGAATGAGCTCACAAAGGGAGAAAGGCCTTCAGTGAAACCTGCAAAAGATGATAATACATATACCAAGAAAATTGTTAAATTTTAAATCAGCCTAGTTGAGAAAGTAACAAGAATAGTCTTTCCAAACTGCTAGGGAATTTCCTAGCTATGACTGACATATAAAAACAACTAACTTGTCCCACAGAGCCATTCCCTGCAAAAGACAGGCATCAGTGACCACCACACATGCTCACCATAGTCATGCTCACAGAAAAAGCACCAGTTAATACAAGGTGGATTTACCCACTTTCTTCAGAAAAGAGAACAAAATGAAAAAGAAATATACAAATGTTCTTAGAGACTTTTTTTGTTGAAGAATCACGGTCTTTGCAAATCATTTTCACAGAGCTTTGAATTCACCGAGATCAAGCACTTTTTCTGTTTTATTCTTCAACGTTGCTAAACTTTGGCACAAACCAGAGCATGTCAGCCAAGCCTATGAATTCAGCCATCTGTCATCACTGATTTTAACATGTGCTATGTAAGCATAATCTCACCTGTCATGGTGTCTTTCCTAGAAGTGTGTTCTCCCTTACTTCCATGGTAAGTGGCGTTTGTTCCAGTTGATTCATAGTCTGTTTTCCTTTCTTTTAGGCTGATCATTTCCCGAGGTGAGGCTGGGGCACTTGCTGGATCATAAAAATGGATTTAGTTTTTCTTACCACATCATCACTGAATGTACTGTTTAACTCTAGAGTAAACATCACAGTAAAGCATATATTTGCTAGTAGACTACTGTTCAGCTGTTTGAATAAACACTAGAGGAGGGGAATCAACTCTTTGAAAGGGTTGATAACTGCAGCACAAGGGGAAATGGTTTTAAGTAGAGGAAGGATTTAGGATGGATGTTAGGGGGAAGTTCTTTACAGAGAGTGATGAGGTGCTGGAACAGGCTGCCCAGAGAGGCTGTGGATGCCTGATCCCTGGAGGTGTTCAAGGCCAGATTGGATGGGAACCTGGGCAGCCTGGTCTAATATTAAATGGGGAGATTGGTGGCCCTGCATGTGGCAGGGGGGTTGGAGATTAATGATCCTTGAAGTCCCTTCCAACCCTAGCCATTCTGTGGTTCTGTGATTATGAAAGAAAAACCGTTGTTATTTCAAATTCAGGACTATCGATTCCAAACATCATTTTCTCTTTTCACTTACACTCAACATCTAAGATGATCATTACGAATAACTACAAAAACAGCAATAATAATAATAATAAACAAATTTCCCATTGCATTTCAATTTCTTTAATGTGTCAACACTTCCCAGTGTAGCTACTTCTCTTTTTTTTTTTATATGGTCAATTCTTTTCTGTTTAAAAGACCCCTTAACTTTCAACTGAGTAGAAAAATCCTTATAAAAAGAGATAAAGTGGTTTCTTTCCTTCCTTCTCTGTTGAAAATAAACAAGCCTTGAAATAATTCTGGGGGGAAAAGAAGAAAATAAAGCTGTTTTTTCATAGAATAATCATAATACAACACTTAAAAGCAACTTAAATAATTTCTCTGCCATTAACTATCTAAGTACAAACAGTTGGCATTAAAACAAAATTTCTTTCATCATGTGCTGTGAAACTCTTCAAGTGTTCAGAGGCTGAACAGCTGAAAGAAAGAGGTTGGGGAACAATGTCATGGGAACAGCCGGCTTGTGGAGTTGTTTCACAGCTGACTGAGCTTCAGCAGCCAGTAAGAAAGAGTCTAACTGAAACGTGGTCTAGCTAAAAGCGGGGAAGTGAAAAATGACTAAGAAATTGGGCTTGTATGAGATTCTCACACACTGAAGAATGTGAAGGTGATGAGTGGTGTTGATCACAAGACTCACAGCTTGTGATGCTATGAAAGGAAAAAGAGAGAAGCTGGGACAAAAATAGCAGATTTCAAATAAACTAATTTTGATAGATTCAGATGTTGGTAGATACAATGCACTTTCCCTGTTGGGGAGGGGAGGAGAGGGAAAGTAGTACAAAGTGAGTAGCAGAACACCCCAGAGTTAGTAAAAGCATAGTGGCAAAAAAATAACTGAACTTTTGGTGCTTGTTTCCACATGCTTCCTGGCTGCCACCCAGACATTCAATATGATAAAATAATCTCCAGAGCAATAACATCTTTTCTCTGAAATTGCGGAGCAGACGTGGTACAGATGGCTTTCTTATGAAGCCATCAAAACTGGGGATTGCTTTTAAGTTGCTTGTCAATAGTGATGTAATTCTGAAGGTGATAAAGATATTAACTACGAAGAAACATGACATGACATTAAATTACCAAATCAGCTAATGGGAGCCTGACTTAAGCAGGGGATGAAACAAGATGCAATTCTTCAAAAGGTAACTAACACTTGCATGCATTTTGTTTCCCATACTTTAGTGATACTTGTAACAATCTGCTGTTTTGAATAAAATTGACTTATGAGAAAAAAAACATCTCTCTCTGTTAGCTGTATAAATTGTGCCTCTCCTCACATGTTAGAACTATGGCTTTTTGGTAAGTGTTAAAATATAGAACTGTCCTCCTCCAGAGTTCTTGTTGGAAGTAGACATACATTCATTACTTTACATTAGACTAAGAAGTAATATCAAGCTTTGTGTTATTATTCTTAAATTACACACAAAAAGACAGAACTCTTCAAGCTAGTTAAAAGCATTGCATCACCAAGTCCTAGGGATGATTGGGACATGACGAGTTCATTTACTTCAGCCTTTAACCCCAAGGTACTAGACACTATACCAAAATAATATTTGACAGATTTGTCTGAAACTAAAGATCTCTGATGACAAAAACCAGGTAATTGCTCCAAGCAGTCTATTACAATGCTTTGTTTCTCTGCCATTAGGAAATGTTCCCTGATGTCTAGCCTGACTCCTTGCTGCTCATTATTTGTCTTCTATAAAAGCAGAGAAAGTTCATAGCATGCCTCTTTGCAGCTGCCTCTTACATGTCTGAAGACTTGATGTGTATCTCTTCTCACTTGTCTCTGAGTTAAAAAATTACAATCCATTCAGTGTGTCTTCATACTCTGATCTCTCCATCTCGACTAAGATGATCAGAAGGCTGGAGCACCTCCCCTATGAGGACAGGCTGAGGGAGTTGGGCTTGTTCAGCCTGGAGAAGAGAAGGCTGCGGGGTGACCTCATTGCAGCCTATCAATACCTGAAGGGAACCTACACCCACGAGGGGAGTAAACTCTTCAAAAGGGCTGACAACAGCAGGACTAGGGGAAATGGATCGAAGTTGAAGGAGGGAAGATTTAGGTTGGATGTTAGGGGGAAGTTCTTTACAAGGAGAGTGGTTAGGCCCTGGAACGGGCTGCCCAGGGAGGTTGTGGATGCCCCGTCCTTGGATGTGTTTAAGGCCAGGTTGGACGGGGTCCTGGGCAACCTGATCTGAATGTGTGTGTTTGGTGGCCCTGCTAGGCAGGGGGGTTGGAACTACATGATCCTTGAGGTCCCTTCCAACCTGGGTGATTCTGTGATTCTGTGATTCTGTGATTCTGTGTGTGATCTCCCGATTCATGTTTGCAACTGACAAAAATCCCTAAGTCATTTCTAATGCAGTTTCATTTAGCCAGATTTCCCCTTGTAATTTATTTGTAAGGAGTAAGATCTTTTCAGACAGTAGCTCCAGTTTCTCAGGACAACTCTGAATTCTAACAGAGCTGCCCATACAAGGTGATTCTCTTCTAGATTTATGCCACCTGCAAAGTTAACAGGTATCCTCTGTGTATTAGAAGGGTCATTATTAAAACTACTGAAATGTACTGGACCCAAGGCAGACCTCCAAGGAAAGTATTCTTCCATTTTGAGAAAAGAATGAAAGTAACATCCATTATTTCAGAATGGTTTTCAGTCTGCTTTATACCTACCACATGCAACATTTTCTGGATAGTTTGCTAGCTTGCCCTGGCTTGCCTATAAAAATAATGCATGAAATAGTTTTACAGATCAGTGTTGATTTCGTTTGCTGTCTATTTCTTTGAACAAAGCCCTACAAGCATACCATGGAAGAATTTAGATGGAATAGTAAGAGCAGTAACTCTCACTGGGGTGTACTTACAGCCACATTTTCAAACTTCCTCAGTGGTTTCTCGGCAGGACTAAGGTACAGCTTATAGATAATTAACACAACTATTTTCTTAGAAATGCAACTACTGTATGATGCTGATGGCAAAAAACCAGTGTGGTAAATTTTAATCTAAAACTACCGGTATACCTATGTAATGGCAGGATTTGATTCAACAAGTAGTGAAATGAAAGTTGGTCTGTTTTAACTGTTTATCTTAAAATACTGTTACTGAGCCTGTTTTAACTAGACAGGATATATTTAGCTTAGAATAAGCTTATGAAAAAATGCCTAGATTACTGAGCAGAAAAGTAAATTAACATCAGTACAAGTTGCCATACTAACATTAATTCACTGCAGAGATCATACAGAATTAATGACAGTTGTTCTAAATGTGACATCAATATTACATGAAGACCTGTAGTCAAAATTTTTTTAAACTTGCAAATTGTATATGCAAGCGAATGCACATTTATGTATATCTACACACATACACGTACAATCAGAATAAAAGCTGACAGAAATAATGTGGATTTTTCAACTTCTGCCACAACAACACGAGAGATTTCATGACTAGCAGAAAGTAGCAGAATTTCCTTGTGCTAACAGTAGAATTAATTGTTCTTGAGATCTAGTCATCTAATGTCAATCAGGAAAGCACTGCATAGCAATTCATAACAAAAAGTTAAGTAATCTCTCTGCCGTAGAACTTTATGAAATGCCCCGCAAAGTAAAGTCATTCCTGTTTTCAATGGATAGTTCAGATATGAGCAAAGGCTGTTATCTTGTGCCCTGCCATTACTGTTAATAACAGATCAGACACTGCTTAAAGGAGGCAAATGACAGCAATTGATTATTTCAGCATTTACTTTGGTCCTGGGAGCCTGCTCTTACCTGAGCGGTTGTTAGGAGACATGCGCACGGGAGAGATGGAGGGCGTGCGTGATGAGGAGTATGGTCTTTGCCGATCTCTTTCTATTGTTGAAGATGAGGCTACAAAGTGATACTGTGACCATCCGTCCTGCAACATCAAACATTACGACAGCAATCAGCAAAAACAGCATATGGTGCTTTTCCTCACTGTTCTTCATTGTTAAGTACAGAGCGTTTTCCCACATATTCTATTTTTTACTACTTATATACAGTAGGTTATTCTCTTTTTCCAGTGGTTGGGTGACAGATACTCTCAGTAGTGCCAGATTCCATATACTGACTGTACTGACACACAAAAAGAACAATTTTAAAATGCAGTAATTTCTGTAAAGTACTGTATTCCAGTAAAACTCAAGTTATGAAAACACTGGACAATGTCTTATATTTTTTTCTTGCCTCTACTTTAGATAGATAGGTTAGGTCAAATACTGGGAGGAAGTTTTTCCCACAGAGGGTAGTGTTGCACTGGAACAGGTTGCCCAAGGAGGTTGTGGATGTCCCAACCATGGAAGCACTCAAGGCTGGATGTGGCTCTGGGCAGCCTGGTCTGGTGGTTGGTGACCCTGCACATAGCAGGGGGGTGAAATGAGATGATCACTGTGGTCCTTTTCAACTCAGGCCACTCTATGATTCTATGACTCTATGATCCTTTCACATTTTAGATGACATTCTGGCTAAAAAAAAATATTCTGAATCACAAAGCTACCTTTTGCGGCAAGTTCTTGCTTTAAGTCATTTCTATCTTACTATACCAATTGTAGTAAGAAGAAGGTGAAGCTACCACATTAGCAAAATTGATGTAAACATTTGAGTATAGTCTATAGTCTAGTAAGATGGATTATATGCCCATTTGTTCACACTGAGCAATAAAAATCAATGCATTTTCCTCACAGCATTTTTTCCCAAGATGTACAGAGTGAAATTCCATTCCCTGTATTTAGAGCTGTGGTAATGGTGATGCATTTTTTTAAAAAAGAAACAAAGCGACAGAAATTGTTTCTATTGTTAGAAACAGCTTCTTCAGAAATAAAGAGTTAATTCCTCCACAGTTTATTATTGTATTATTATAACAGAATGTAATGCTCCTAAATAATTAGCTTTATAACCTGAAAATATCATGAAAGAATAAATGGACTTTTACTAGTACTCTTATTAAACTACAATATTTCAGACGCCTTAAAATATTTTCATGTTGAAATTGCTTTTATCACTACTTAGTTTTAAATCTAAATCTATAACACAGGTTGATCCTGCCTGGTCTTGGGCTGAAGGGCTTTTACAAACACCCACTTTCTGCTATGCTCCATGGATATCAAGTCAAGCAACTGGCATGGTGCTAAATATGGCTTTGCAGTGAAATGCTGGATATAAGCAAACACTAAAAGACTGCAACCCCACCCATCCCTACAACCAGCAGGAATTCTACTCTTGCTTACAGAAAACTAACTCTGCTTGACTGCAGAAGGACATTTCCCTGGGCTGCCCCTGACGCCCAGCTCTGAGGCCCACCCCTCCCATCAGGCCCATCACAGGCACACAGCTCTCCCAGCTGCAGCAGGGAAAGGCTCGAACACACCTTTTCCACTTTCAAGAAAGAGAACTCTGCAAGAGTGTGGCAAACAGCTCTTTTAATAGCAGCAGGAGGAAGGAAGGCATTCACATTTGATGCAGAGAGAAATGCTCTGATAGGAGAGAGAAACTTGACACCTAGCTACAGGTTCCGAACATCTGTACTCCCTACAGAATGCATTTCTATGTAGGTCACTCCAAAAGTAATGCCTCCTTTTTGCTTCCACGGAAACTACAGCAGAATAACACTATTTGACAGAGCAAGTTCTCAGCTACAAAATGCTATTCTTCAAAAGTCAATACCATTAGCTCTGCATTTTCATCAGTGATGAACAAGAGCCTGCATGCTGTGCTCATAAAAATCTACACCAGTGGAGGTGACCCACTGTTTCAAATCTGCTACGATGGCATCATAGCAGCCTCCATCATCTCAAACAGATGGAAGTCAGAAGGCATCAGATCTGGACTATACGGTGGGTGTGGAGGACAGTCCAGCCAAGAGAGGCAATGTACTCCACAGTCTTCAAACTGATATGGGGCTTGGTGCTATCGCGTTGCAAGAGAATGGTTGTTTCCTTTTCTGAACTGGCTCTCTAAGACTGAGCCTTCAGCTTAGTTAGTGTTGCAGTGTAGCAGTTGAGTTGATGGTTTGTCCAGATTCCAGGAAATCCAGAAGGATCATCCCTTTCATAGTGCAAAAGACAGCACACATTACGTGCCAAGGGCTATGACTTGAACATTTTTTTTTCCATGGGGAATTCACATCACCACTCCATGCACTGCTGTTCTGCCTCCAGCTCGTAGTGGTGACACCCTGTCTCGTTACCAATCCAGGAAAATGATGCAATCCAGGAAACTGTCACCTTCAGTCTCATACAGCTTCAATAGGTCAAACTTGCACAAGGTGTTCTTTATCTTCCTGTATGTGCGTTCACGTGACCCATCTGGTACAAAATGTGTAATACATCAACATTGCCATCATCATTTCCAATGTATTGAAGCTGATATTCAGCTCCATACCAAGTTTTCTGATGGGAAGTGGATGAAATTCACATGGACTTACAGAGGAATTGTGTGTGGCACCAGTTTTGCTTGGAATACTAATCTACGCTTTGTCATCATTTCTTCCTCATCAACAGCATTGCAAAGTACCTCATCAATAAGAGAACAAAATCCAGCTGCAGCTGGGATGCTAGCAATAGCATTTTTCTCTGTAGCACGTCTGCCCCTCTTCTCCCTTAAAATCTTAGGTATTTTCACTGCGGAGAGTAGTGGCTGTTGTAAGGTCTTCAAAACAAATATGCTACAAACTTTAAAGTCTGCAAGCCTGATTAGCTCAATAATGGGAGGTAGGTCAACAATAAACTCTAACATGAATACTGTTGTTACTTGGCAATGCTTATGACTCAACAAGGCATACTGCAGTATGAAAAGCTTCACAGTGTTTTTGGAGCACATTATGGGCAGCTCACAGATGCCACATATTCCAAAACCTGAATACTTTTAAGTCATATATATTTAGCCCTTCTCTGCTGCAAAGAACAAGGTCCTTCCCTTGGAAAGGTAAACTGTTTGTAACAGATTCATTACAACTATCCCCAGAAACAATTCCAAAAGCTATTAGCGTTAAATATTGAAACTAATTTTTAAGAGCCTTAAGGGAGTATTTTCAATTTAATGCTGAGATAAATAGCACCTGACGTGATGGCTGCTTTCATTAGTTTGTTTCAGCTCTAGTGCTTGTAATGAAATTTAATTAAATTGATTTGGGTACTTAAAGGTACAGTATGGAAGTATGGAAGTGTCCTGCAAAGAAAACTAACTCAACAGCAGTGTGTGAGACCGCATTTCAGAAACCAATTTATCAGTCACAAACCTGATTTAGGAGAGGAAGAATAAGTCAAAAGGATCTGACAAACTGAGGAGTAGTTCTGTCACTGTAGTTCTGTTACAAGAATGGATGTTTGTTAACTGGCAGTAATTAATTAATAAGTAACAACTGCACACCACAAGAAGGCACACAACAACCAAAGTACATAAATATCACTGCATGTCCTCATCACCTCTTCCAAGGTAGCTTCTGTTGGGCTTTTTTCTAAATTCTGACTACAATGAATATGTGCATTTTCCCTCAATTACACTGCATTGTCAGATGTTAAAGGGTGTGTGTCAGACTTTCATCAGCGGAGATGTATTTCTGATCATGTGCTTGTTGGAAACCTGCAGGGACTAGATTTGGACTGGAGGCTTAATCACTGCAGAATGTAGGTATGATACTATAGTCTCACTGATCAACTTTAACTGGGATTAAGGAGTGAACAAGTCCTTTGCTTTCCTGCTCAACTGTAAGTCATTTTGAATATACAGCTTTCTTCAAGCCCATATGAAATAATTAGTTAGTCAGGGTGACTATGCTTACTGTGTCAAAATATAGTTTGCTTTCTCCACATTATTTTTTCTGTGTTTAAAGATAGACAAGACAGCAGTATTCTTTAGTGTTTAAAACTTCCACGCTGTGTTCAGTTTTCTTGTGTGTTCCAAATTCTGTGACTCTGCAGTAGAGGAATCCTTGACTTCCTGAGGTGAGTAGTATAGATACTATCTATCTGGTTTGTTGTACAATAGCACTATGAAGACAGAACTAAATTAAGCCATGACTGGAAGTGACAACATGCTGACCCGATAGGGAACCAAAGCCTGAAGAACCCATAGGTTGAAGAAGTGAGAGGGGAGAAGCCAAAATGGTGGAGTCAAGGGCTGCATGGTGTGATTGAGGATGGATGTGGCCAGCCTGGATGACCTCATGGCATCTGCTCCAAAAGAATTCCTGTATCAGCTCAGCTGCTAACTGCCACACAGCAAAAATAAAAACAAGCCCTGTGCTCTGCTGGATTATCTGATTGGCTGATGACACTGACTTGAAAGTCACCTGTGGTTTAGAAAAACTGCTGTGGCTGCACAGGAGTATCTGTCTATGTTGAAGAGTGTTTTCTGTTTTCCGTGGCTACTAACATCCTTGACAGGAAGTAAGAGTATATTTTCAGAACATTTTCTTTTCAGAAAAAACACTCTGAGGAGAACAAACAAAAATGATACAACCAATCTGATAATGAATTGGCTAAGACCCAAGAAACTACAGAAGAAGTGTCTCTCCTCCTGCTCAGTTTGCAGACTCCCTGGTTACTTCTTGCCTCAAACCTGATCCTGTTCATCACTTCATTTAACAGACATTTCACCAAATGATTTAAATCATACAGGATCAGACTTGTTTTGTCCTCCTTCTTCCCCTACTTGCAAGCCAGCATTTTACTGGTTCCGGCATATTAACTGCAATAGTAACTGCTTATGGTAGGTAATAAGCTGCAGAAATGTAAAGTTTTTATAGGTAACCACTGGCAGGAACTGGTGACTAGACCCAGAACAAGTGGATAACAGCAAAAAGGCAGAATGTATCTAAGAAAGTAATAACATAGGATGTACTCGGATTGAAACTCAGCCAGAAATTGCTGAAGGAGTTGC